CCTTAATTTTTGGAAATATGAACTTAATTTAGACTAAAATTCACTCAAAAAAATTTCCAACAAGTAACCCATTGAATATGATACATTTACGTAGAACATTATAGGAAGAAACAAATACATGTAAAAAATATATATGGGAAAATAGAAAGGTGTGTCACGTCTAGCGATTTACTGCATTTAAATATTAGGAATTAAATAGATTATCTTGCATTTGGTTTATGACGTGCAATGACATATATAACAAGTAGGTCACCAACCTAATATTTTGACAGCCTCGATCCCCGGCCTTTAAATTTTGTGACATTTGAATCCTCCGTTAATGATTTTACCCTTGAAAACATACGTTCGATTTCTATACATGGCAATTATTATTATCGTCGGTGTAAATTTTTATGATACCTATATATGTAGTTTTAACGGTCACAAAACGTTTTTATGTACTGAAGTCGTCTTTGTTCAAAAAGACAACTGTTGAAAACTCGTTTGCGTTAAGCAAACAAACTTGTCATAAGTTGAAATAATGATGCGGCGTGAAATGATAAATAAATGACGAACAAAGAACGACCTAAAAATACATTGATTCACAAAGAATACCGCGGATTTAGAAATCAACTATTCGTTGATTCTTCACAAAGAACATCAATTTTTTTTATCTTGACCGCAAAGTTTGTGATCCAATGAATACTGATTTCACAGTTTGTGGTAACTCCTCAAATTGAAGTTTTTGCACAGTTTGTGAATGTAGTGTGTACTCATTCAAAATTTGTTTAGGTCATTTAATTTTTATATAAATAAAATAAATTATCCCCATCCTTATTATTAAAATTGTGTTCCTATGTACGTGTCCCATAAAAAAACTATATCATTGACTCACGCTTCTACTTTTCATATATTTTCTAAACAATCGTGTTTCATATACAGTGTGGGCGTTCAACCCAACTCACACATGGGGATGCGTAATTTTTTTTACATTTTTATTGAGGTGGATCCCACGTAGGACCCACCTCATATGAGAGGGTGTAGGGCCCTGTACAAAGGGTTTAGCACTTTTTTGAGTCACATTAAAATTTTCATTCTCATTCTTCTATTCATTTTTAACCACACATTTTTCAATAAAATAATATTTTCCATTATATCAATAATTTTTTCCTCTTTTTCAACCACACATTCTCCATCAATCTACTATTCCAAAATAATATGGTTCAAACACACCTTCAATCCTTTTCCGAATGTTCACACAATGAGAGACAATTTAGGTAGCAAGTTCAATCAGTATCAGTAACAAATAAGAAAACCTTAAAGTTTAATATAATCTTGGAATTAATAAAATTAACATATGGCAGGTGTTTAACCCTGATTGTATCACACTCATTTTTATATACTCCCTCTGTCAAAGCTACAAAAAATAATTAATTATGACAATTTTCACTTATAATTAATTTATTGCTGACGTACCTGGAAATTAGGTGTTGTTTCAAGCGATTATCATTTCTTTATACTCCAAGGTCAGAGCTATAAAAAATAATTAATTAGGACGATTTTCGCTTATAATTAATTTCTCGCTGACGTATTGATTTGGAAATTAAGCCAATGTTTCGTTTTGTTAAAAATAGAATTTTTAGTAGATTTTAATTTAAAAATTGATAAAATGTGATTTAGAAGTTTGTTGGATGAATAAAGTTTGTTTAATCTTGGTTTAGAAGTCTTAGTTGATTGGATTCTATGTGATTTGAGATTTGGTTGATTGGGAGAAGTCTAATGTATTTGGGTTTGTAGAGTCGTAAGTTGTGGAGATCAAATTTCAATAATAATTAAGAGTTTGGCTTGAAAAATGACTTTTGGATGGCAAAAAAGTATGTTTTCAAATGTTAACTCGAGACCTAACACCTAGGCGCTACCATCGCGACACCAAAAATTGAAACAACAAGAAAAATTAGACATGGATCTCGCGCCCAAGCGCCAGCACATAGCGCCTGAGCGCTAGGCGTAGGCGCTGCAAGAGTAACTAATCGTAATTCTTTCGTTTTATCCGAATTTTGGGACTTCTTCTCCATCTTGGACTATACCTCATCTACAATTTCGAGATTTGGCTTCTATAAACACTCAACAAGGTATAGAGACTTCATAAGGTGAAAAAGAAAGACTCAAGAGAGATTATAACAATTAAATTATTGTTGTATATATTAGAAATAAGAAGGAATTGTTTAAATAAGATTGAGATGATTAAATCTTATAAGACAATTGTTTATTTCTTGGTATAATAAATTCTACTGTTTCACAATTTTGTGTGATCCATTAAATTTCAGATTATCCATACTTTTTGTCTTTAATTATTTGGCCAGTTTCTCAACAAGTGATATCAAAACGTTCTTAATATCGAGTTGGTTCATAACAAAATGTATGGTTGAAAAGTTGATAAAAGTTGTCAATCCCATAAAATATAGGATTAAAATTACTTATTAACTTTAACTTAAATTTTTATTAACTTTTTAAATCACAATAAAAATGAGTAATTATTAAGTAGTTTTAAATGCGAATAATTGAGCCGAAATCCTTTAAAAATTGAATACTTGGTGTCTTAAGTTATAATCCTGATTGTATCACCATCATTTTTATATACTCAATCAGATCTACAAAAATAATTAATTACGACCATATTCACTTATAATTAATTTATTGTACACGTATTAAGTAGTCTAGATCAAGAAAACAATGTTAAATACAGTAATTATTAATTTACACGTTACGTGCGACGCACTTAATTTAAATTTATGTAATAACAAGTAAACAGTACCTACACCAGCATCATGTTCAGGTAGCTGAACATGTACACATTGTTTTCATACATATACACAATATGAATTTTCAAATATAATGTTTTATTTATTATATTAGGGTTAGCCAACTCTTGACATTGGAGTATATATAGGACTGAGGGTGCTAAGCTAAAATGTACACTCTCAGCTTAAGATCGAACAACAGAAAAAGGTTAGGATGGAAGGAATGCAGCAGGCAGACGAGGCACTTGTGCGAAGACAGACGACTCCCCGTCGAGATCACGACTATACGATGATTGGTGATCATGAAAGTAGCAGTGAGATGAAAGGACATGACAATGAAAATGAGGATGAGAAGTACTTTGATAGGAATTCAAGTAAGAAGATACACTTCCTCCCGACTGATTTTTTGATACATGTTATTTTACTACTTCTAATCTTTTAAACTTTTGAGGACTAAGATGATATAATGATTGTAATCTACCAACGTAGGGTTGATGACAAATAAATAAATAGTGTCTTTCATAATATGTTAAACTTTTATATGAAGTGATTAATATGGCATTAGAGCTTAAAAAAAAAAAAAAAGATTTAGCCCTTGTTGGTGGTGATTAAAGTCAGATATTTGGTAAATTTTGATAAAAATTGATGAAATATTTACCATGAAATATATGGTTAAAATAAATTGTTTACTTTGATTTAAATTAAAATCAAACTTAGTTTCAACTTTCAAGTTTAATAGCCACACATTTAAAAAGGTTGTAATATATCAGGGACTCGTGGTATGGTAACATATCAAACATGTCGTGGGATGGCGAAATTTGCACTCCCATCTACCCTGTATTTTCCAGCCATGAAAATTTCTCAAATCCATCCCAAAACATATTATTTAGGGGGTGTATTCAATTGGACTTTTGAAGACTTTGATGAACTTTCTTTAAGTGACGACTTTTGTAAATTTAGTGAATTTTTTAGAGATTTGCATAGAATTAGTGGAAGTCTTTTGTAAATTTATAAAATTTCATTTTAAAACTTTTAAAGACTTTTGTAGAATTCAAAAGATTTTTTAAAACTTTCATTTGAGATAGAATTTTTGTGTATCTAGTGCAATATTATGAAATTATCACATACGAGATTGTGGTTCTTACAATTCCCATTCCCCTTCCCTTTCGCCCCATATAAAAAAAAATATTTTTTAAAAAATAAAAATTGAAGTCCTTAATTAAATAAATAATAATTATTATACATATAAAAAACAAACTTAATATTCAGTATTATTAATATAATATACCCTTAAAGAATAGATTAAAAATATATATTTAAATTTGATTATAAATTAGTCTATATAAAATTTTATAATTTAATTAAAAATAGATATTTTTCAGAAAAAATAAATGAAAAAAAAGTTATAAAAATACAATTTCATATTTTCATAGAAAATAGAAATAAACAATAAGAGAAAGAAAGAAAAATAGAAAATAATACAATCAATAGAAAAAAATAAACTTTAATCATAACTCTAATATTTGTATAAGGGAAAATGATAAAGAAATATTGAAAAAAATAAATACGTATTAATTTCTTCATCTTCTTCTTCTTCTTCATTTTTTTTTTTTTTTTTTTTAAAATAAAAGAAAAA